AAGCGACCAGAATATTTTTTGATGGAACTGAAAGAAACTTTGTCAATAAAACCACTAACTCAACCAACCAACCAACCCACCAAGTACTCGAGACTGTCATACACAGCAAGCATACAATCGTACGACTGTCCGTCCGTTCATCGCATCCATTCAACCGACCGTCAATCTATTCGATGTACACATGTACGGACATGCCAACACATGTTTGTGTGTCGTTCGTTTATCAGCAGACGAAAGAATCGGCATTTGTCTGAGAAACATAATCGACTTATGTTATAAACTGTTATACTGTTATACACACGGTACCAGTATAACAATGTTCAAGTGCCAGCGACAATGACAACATAAAAGAGAAATAAAAACAACCACAACCGCAGCAATAAGAACAGCAACAGCAACAACAACACCATCAAACCTCAGAATGACGATATAACAACGCATTTATTGCGCTGACGCAATCAAACTATGCGAAATGAGACTCAATTTAAAATCCACAATCCACTACTGGATGGATCCAAACAGACATTGTTAGTCCACTAATGTTGTTTGCAGTAGAGTTGCCATCCTTATGAAGATACTGGAGCATAGGAGCATATACGATATTAAAAAAAAAAACATTAAAAATGCATTAAGTTCGGCTGGGCCGAACTTTAAAGACCCCCCACCATTTAGAAGGAATTTGCAAATTTTTCAAAAAAAAAAAAAGGATTTAAAAATTATCAGTCGGTTTGATTTGATTGATTAAAAATATTTTGACTTCTGTTATGATTATTCAAATTTTTGACCCTCTATGAAGTAGGTTCTGAAGGAATTATGTAGGTTCTGAAGGAATGGGCCAATATTGTACATTTCTTATCGGACCTAAATAAATATGATATAAATAGTACGAAGTGCCAGGTTTGGACTATACTGGTTTTTTCTTCCTTCGCTTTTTATGAGATATGTGATAATTTTTAAAGAATGTTAAAAGGTGCGTGGGGTACTAGACCGAAGTATTCCATTTTCATACTTTATCTAATACAAAAAATAAAAAAATATGGTTATGGGCAAAATTACAAGAAAATCGAAGATTTGTATCCAGTTTTATGCGAAATCATAAATTCCATATTCAACTCAGATTTCTGGTCGAGAGAAATATTTAGAAATAGCAAGTTGTGAAGAATAGCTGACTTGTTTCGCAAGTTATGACAGATAAAAGTATTGTGACGTTTTGAGGAACTTCAGGGTGTTATTCACTTTTGTAAATGCAGCTTGGTAGCCATTAATAATGTTAATTAATATTTTTTTTTACAATATTCATTTTTTTTCTTTATGATATGGAAAAATTGTCAAAACTACTAGATTCTGAACAGAGCAAAAAATTTCTTCTAAAATTATATTTTGAGGGAGAGATGTACCATTAGGGGTTCGCCGTTATATATCTTCTTTACAATAGAAAAATGTTTGTGTGTGTGAAATTTGAAGAGAGTTGAATGTTTATTCCGCTTTCTTTGAGCGTTCACTTGAAACCTATGTGGGGGAGGTTCCAGAAGGAATGGTCCGACATCTACTATCTTTCCCTGAGATGATGTGTTGATGGGCATATTGAAATGCAGGATGTCGAATGGAATCGGATGTTAATATCGCGATTTATGAACTTCATGGACATTCAATATTTTGACCCTTTGTGGGGAGGTACCAGAAGAAGTGGACCGGTATATCCCATTTTCACAGCAGATTAGCTGAAATAATGGAATGTGTGAAATTTGAAGAGAATCGAAGGTTTATTTCGGATTTTATTATCGTTTTGGTTATTCAAAACTTTGAACATTTATCGGGGAGGTACCAGAAGGAGTGGACCGATATATTTCATCTTAACAAAAATATTGGGATTTGTGAAATTTGAAGAATCGGACTCTTACATTACATTTTATTAGAGTTACAATTATTCAAAATTTTGACCATTTGCGGGGAGGTACTTGATGGAGTGGTCCGACATTGACCATTTTCGCACCTGACCTAACACTGATGCAAACATAAGGTTTTGCAAAGTTGGAACAAAATCGGCTTGTACTTTCTCTGTCTGTGCAATAAAATATTTTCTTGAAGATTTCTAACTTTGGTGGTGTAGGCACCAGAAGGAGTGGATCTATATTGTCCATCTTAACATCAGACCTTGGGATGTGTGAAATTTAAAGACAATCGGACTCTTACATCACATTTTATAAGAGTTGTAAGTATTCAAATTTTTGACCATTTGTGGGGGAGGTACCGGAAGGAGTGGACCGATATTTTCCCTTTTCACACCTGACCTAGCACTGTCGCGAATATTAGGATATTCAAAGTAGGGACAAAATCGGATTATCCTTTCTCTTTTTGTGCAAAAAAACATATATTTTGAAAATTTCGACCTTTAGTGGGGAAAGTACCAGAAGGAGTGGACAGATATTGCCCATCTTCGAAATCGAACTAAGTTTGGTAACGATATTACGATGTATCAAGTTGGGACCAAATCGGATGCTACCTTTGTGAGTTACAGACAGCTCCAAATGTCATGAAACGGATTTGGTCAAATGATATATACCCTCCGTAACCAAATGGTTGGTGGTCTGAAAACCTCCGTTAAAAATGCCGCAAATTAAAAAGGAAGTGTTCTAATATTTATTCGCTTTAAGTAAATATTTCCCAAATTGATTATAAAATTTATTGTTGCTCTGGTCATGTAAAAATTAGCCGATTCCACTATTTATTCAATATACATTGTGTATACATTCCGTTTTATTCATTCGCTAGCCGAAATTGAAATTCAAGATTAGGTTGCCCAACTAAATTTCCGGTTTCCAGGCATGGCAACACTGCTCACAACGGCTATAGATTATGTTTCTTTTTATTATTTATTTTTTAAAACCCAGAATTGAAACACCAACCAATTGGAACGGAACATACCGATTGAAAAATAAACAAAACAAATAATTATTCACAACAATAAGAGAGGAACGAAATGACAATTGGAACATAACCAACGGCCCACACACTCACACAGCAGCAGCCACGATTACTGGAATTGTTTCGAATTATGCGACAGAGCGATGAAGAGAGGCAGAGAGAGAGAGCCAGCGCTCTCTGGAGCAGTGTTGCCGTTTTGGGCGTTTCCGTCCAAATTTGGGCGGAAAAAAGATAAATTTTGTGGTTTGGGCGGAATTTGGGCGGATTTTTTCCATATTGGGTACAAATTTATTTTTCATTGTTTATTTTTACGTAATTTAATTTTTTTTATTTCTAACTGAATTTTATATTTTTTTATTGAGATGAATCGTTATTTATTTTATAGATTTTTGTTAAGTTTTTTAATAATATATATGTGATACCCTACAACACTACAATATGTTAGAAGCCCCCTCATGTCCAAATCCATTTTGGAAGATTTCGCTTTTGAAATTATGTCACGGAGCACTGCCTAGATATTACCCTTAGCATTTTGACCAGGGACATTTTCCCAATATTTATGCACTCCGTCGTGCTGTTCGTTTTTGTGGTCCATTTTACGGCTAAATATATTCCAATGGTCATCATCAAATCAGCATAAAAAGCCAGAAGTTCGCCTATTGTGTATTTCGGATATCGCCTGTAAGTAATGTTGGTATTTTTTTACACAAAAGTAGTGGTCCATTCTACCCGCTGTCCTAAGCTCTAACTTCATGCGAGATTTCGTGTCCTTAGGTTTATATTTAGGACCTTTATAACGGCTGCAAAATCAGGAACATTTTGAGTTGCTGGTTAATTTCAACCCCTAAATATATTGTGGACATCTTTGAAAACAATAGGCTAAGCCCTTCTGAGCCTAACCCTACCTTTGTTAAAAATTTCGTGAGGATCGAACGATAATTGCAATCTGTATATAAATAATAACCCTAACCTGTGTTGTAAAGTGAAAAATATTACAAAACAAATACTTCAATATTATAAATTAATTTAAAAAAATCGCATGCGATAAAAAATATGAAAAAATAAAAAAATGTCACAAAATACTACAAAATCTATATGAACATCATTATTGGTATCTTTTTATGCGATTTTTTAGTATTTATACTTTAATGCCACAAGGGCATTCTAAATTGACAAAATTTGTCAAAATCGCTCCAGCCATTCTGAAGATATAAGCATTCCAGCTGATATCCCCTTCCTTTGTATACATACATTGTATATATTTCTCTATATATATCCGATATTTTTACTATCGGCATCTACGTAACGGTCAGAATTGACCTGTTCATGTATTTGTGATTTCACCGGCAGTAAAAATATTCGCGGATTAATGGAAAATTTGACTTTTATTTATCGCAAATGCTATGGTCTACTAAACCACTAAACATTACCCGATGACCATCAAAATTGGAAGGCTTCTGTCCAGTCCAAAATCTAGCCCCATGCTTAATTTCGCTTCGATTGGTCTATAATTGTGACCTGTAGAGTAACTGCTAGATAGCTAGATCGACTCAGCTCGGCGAGATAGGAAGATCCATATATACTTTCCTATGTGGGAAACCAATATTTCGTGGTGTTACATAATTTTTGGCCCAATCAAAGTTATAATACCCCCAACACATACTGTTGTAGGTATAAAAACCTGAATAATAATAATGACTTTAATGTATTTAATACATCGAATTATTGTACTATGTTACGTGTTCAAATATATATATATATAAAAAAACTTGAAATAAAATAACATAAAATTTTTATTTTCTCTGAGGTATTTAATACATTGAATGTAATAAAACCTGAGTACCTTTTTTATGTATAATGTAAAATGTTCAATAAAATTTACTTGAATACAAACTACATATAATTTATTCAACTTTTTACAGTTTGGGCGGATATGGTCAATTTTGGGCGGTTTTTAGAAAAAATTTGGGCTGAAATAAAAATTTCAAACGGCAACACTGCTCTGGAGTCGCTACAATGAGAATTGTGTTTCGCTGCCGTTGTGTACCATCTCTTTGCCGTAATATCTCGAATGCGGCGCATTTAGTATTGTCTATGCCGGCTAACATGCAACATCCCGTGGACGTCGTGTTACGTTGTTAAAGTCGTCGTTTTTTTTTCTTCTCCGCACATAAGCGTTTTCTCACAGAAAACATTCAGACAAAACAAACAAATGTTTCATTGAAAAACAAAACAGACGAAAAGAAGAAGAAAAAAAAAACGCTTACCAATCAAACAAACAACCCCTCTGCCGTGGAAGAAGAAAATAAAAATAACAACAACAGAAAAAATACAAACAAAACATTGTTAGGCTCTGCAAACCTGTTCCCCAAAATAAACAGCCGACAAGTTGAGAGACGCGCGTATCTATCTGCCCGCTGCCGTCAAAGTCACAGGTTTTTGTGTGAGTGAGTGAGTTAGTGCGTGTGTGTGTGCAACAAAGTTTCAATTTTTTTTTGGCTCTTTTGTTGTCGTTTTCAAATGGAGACGACCGAAAAACATCATCCAAACGTTTAGAAGAATTTGCCAAACAAAACAATCGGATCGGAGCTAAGTTTCAGCTTCCAGACGGGAGAGTGTAACGCGACTTGCCCACCTTCCAAGCAACCAACTAAATGACAAGTAATTAGTTCTGTTATCCTGAATCGAGTTGATATCGTCTCGTCACGTCAACATCATCGCCATCATCACGGTAGTTAGTACGTCTTTGGTCCTCTGTCGACGCGACGACCGACCTATGTATGTTTGTGGCTGTGTCAGTGCCAGTGTTTGTGTCCGCCGAAATCCTCTTTTTGTTTTTGTTGTATCTCTCATTTGTGTTTATGTTTCCGTTCATTATTATTATGGTTTTTTGTTGCAAACTCCGGCCGCCAAGTCAAGTCAATTGATCGGAAACGGGTCCCAAAAAGTGCAAAATTCTAAAAGAATCCAAACCAAACAAAAAAAAAAGAAGTGCGCCGAATAAAACAAATACGAAAACATATAACGGTGGTGTACTCAATTTTTTCTTGTAGTGGAGCACAGTAACCGGGCTATTGGAGTCAGCGACAACAACACAACTTGTAAAAATTACAACAACAAAAAAAGATAAAACAAAAATAAGCAAATTTCTCCACGTTCCATGCGGTTGTTTTTCGCATTTCCTTTTGTTACGACTTTCATATGTTGTTGTATCTCTTGGCTGTTGTTTTAGCCATTGCTCCACAAATACATGTAAACATCCGTTAATTGTGCGGTGCTGTTTTATATTCTGCGACAACAAACAAACCAAAAAACAAAGAGAAGAAATAAAAACAACAACAACATCAATGAAAACGTTCTATAAATGATTTATTTTTGTTTTGGGTTCTTTGCACAAGAAAAAAATTTGATTTTTTTTTAAATACCAATTAATATTTTCAATAATAGGAGCAGTAGCAGCAGCAACAACAACAACAACAATAAAGTACAAAGTGAAAAATAATTAATTCCATGGAACCTTAAAAAGTCGATTTTTTCCAAAAATATAAAGAAAGTATCTTCCCCGCCTCTCCGCATCTAAAAAAATAAAATACTTCAAAAAAAAAAAAAAAAAATATTAAACCAAAAAAGATAACAATAACAGTGAAAACAAATGCAAATTGTGTGTGAAAAATAATTAAAAATTAAACAAAAATATTTAGAAAATGGGCATTTAAAAAATCAATTACAAATAATCCAAATACCGACAATAAGTGTTTCTAAATTTTTGCTTGGATCTAACGATTTCCATAGCTGACTTCGAACCAATCAACAGAAATCACATTCAAAGGATTACCAGCTACTTTCTCGCCAAAAGTCACAGCGAATACCCAAATCTGCAACAATCGTTAAGGTAAGTCGGTTGGATTTTTTAATATTCCATACCATTATCTTGGTATAGAATCATCTGATAGTGACTTGAAAATTGTATAAAAAATTATTCGATTTGGCTGAAATTTTTCCCCTATTTCGGGAAACTTTTCAATTTTTAGAAAGATAACCAGCAACAATTTTAGTATGGCATTTGGCATTTTTATCTAATCTTTTATAAATCCCTTTGTCAAGTGAAATAATTTTAACTGAATCTTTTTGATAAGGAAAGGATGAAAAACAATAAAAATTTTCAAAAATTTAAAATTCTTTAAATGAAATATAAAGTTATATCTCATAAAATACCTACTGAAGTTTAAAATTTACTTCTTTAACATATCGCATATCTAAGCTTTATCATTTGATGTTATCAATAAATTTGTTAATTATTAGTCATTGAAGTATTGGCTCGTATTATGAAAACAAAAAATAAATTAAATAAATAAAAAATAACATAAAAAGGCCTCATTCGCTTCAATTCAAAAGAAAGCCAGTATAGATTTCCGTAAATTTATATTTCGATATTATACTCCAAAGGTGACTATCATAGATGGCTGTCCGAATATTTAGCCATTGTGGTTTCATTGCAGAGTTTTAATCTAGAGCTGCCACTAATAAATATAAGTTGTATTTATATACAACAATCATCCAGGCTTGTCTAATGAAAAGCCAAAGGGTCTCAGTTTCTGTTTAATAAAATTTTGAAATGAAAACTTCTATGAAGGCGACAACAATTAAAAGAAAATTTTAATAAAGAAAATAATTCTTAATTTCAAAAAAAAAAAAAAAAAAAAAAAAAAAAAAAATAAGTCCAACTTTATATTTGAATCTCTCGATGTAGCTTTGGCACATTTGGAAAAATTCACAAAAAAAAAAAAATAAATAAATAAATAAATAAAAAAAATAAGAAAAATAAAAAAAACAGCTAATGTTGGCAAAACTTTTTATACCTTTCACCATTCGGAAGGAACTTGAAAATTAAAAAAAAAAAAAAAATAATAAATAAATAATCTGCCCAAAAAATACCGCAAAAACCTTTATATGGAAGCTATACAAAGACGTGGTGCTGCATATGTAAACTTTTGTTACAGGCTGTAGTAAAGATTCCGGACTTTAAATACGTAATTTGAAACAGTTCTGGTTATTAGTGTCGGTTATATTATCAACATGCCGAATAAAGGGAGGTACCATTGTATGGGGGCTATAGAAAGACGTGGACCTGCACAGACAATTTTCCGTCTTAGATTGTAGTACCCATTACGAATTTCAAATACCAAATTTGAAACATGTCCGGTGAATAATGTCGCCAAAATTATCAAAATACCGAATATCAGGAAGTGCCGTTATATGGAGGCTATACGAATACGTGGACCTCCGCGGACAATTTTCTGTCATAGGCTGTATTATCTATTACAAACTTCAAATACCAACTTTGAAACAGTTCACCAAAATATTAAACAAGCAATATAGGAATATTTTAAAAACAATGCAAATTGTTGGTGAACATTTTACAAAATATTGAAAACTTCTGTTCAACACAATTCCTCAAAATTTAGTTATCATGTTTTTGTTTATTTTAAATGTTGACACATTATTCTCATTTATTTATCAGTGCCTCAAAAATGTATTTGCTTTCAATGTAGTAGAATGTTAGGAAGGTTGAAGTTGGGTTGGCTTAGAAAAACTGGGCTTTAAGCAACAAAGAATACAAATTGGAAATTTAATTATTTTTCAAGATTTAATTTCGTTAGTTGGCCAAAAAGTAGATAGTCGAAATCGGGTGGTACCTTTGTATGGGGGCTTCGCTTACGATTTTCGCAATAACCCAAACTTGAGACTGCCTTTTGATTAGGCTTACACCATACCTCTCGTTTACAAAAGACAAGGTCACACAGTCCCTTTAGCAGTTGACAGAAAAAAAAGTTCGCATGGACGACTACGTCACGTCCAGATTGTGTTTGATTATGTCTCCATTATTTTTTCTTTTTTTATTGTTGTTTTTAGACACATTTTTACTGTGAAAATTTCCTGCCTTTAGACAGTGAGGAAGACTATCAGACTTTTCCCCTCTTATAACCTCAAACATATTTCCAATTTTCCTATTAATATTGATGATTCACTCGCACCATACTCATATTTTATCGTAATTATGTCTTCTTGTCCATCTACTTTAGGATACAACTTTAGTTTACGTGTAGGTTAACGAGATATAGGCATTAGAAAAATACTATTTTCTCTAAAATTTTTCTCTTGTGCAAAATATGACCTCTTTCAGAGGACTTTTCTCAAAAGCATCTCAAAAGCTTATTTGAATTTTGTTCTACTATTTTCGTCAATCAAAGAAGAATTTTTAAGAATCTACATCTAGGAAGATATTTTTACAATTAGACAAAAGATTGGAGAAAGCAAATTCAAAAGTAGCAAATACGGGAAACGGCAAGAGTCAAAATCTCTTAAAGGGCAAATCCGCAGTAAATTTTCATGTCTTACTCCAGAAGATTTGAAAATGTATTAAATCTTGAAGACGCTATATGCACTTCAACCCATATGGCAATTGCTAATTTCTGTACTTTTCATAGAATTCGATTTTAAATTTTTAAAACATCATCTATTTTGAAAATTGTATGACTGTGGCTGGCATCTTTGCAGTCAAAACGCATTGCATTATTTAAAAATGTAAAACATTTAAATATAGAAATTTGCAAAATACTTTTAGTACTTTTTTGTTATTTGAAGGATTTCCAGCGAAATCCCCATTGACTCAAAGGGAAGATTAACGTCTAAACTCGCCTTCTGTGCGACCTTATTAAATCGACCCTGCATCCAAGTTCACAACGAGAAATATGTATGATTCATTTTTATAATTGTATTTTTAAAATAATAATATAATTGTAATTTTTTGAAAATGAACATCGAAATTACAAACAACAAATACCAGATAGAATTTGGAAATAAAAAATAAAATGAGGGTTCAAAAGATTGCTAATTTAAAATCATTATCTCTGCTGTTAACCTTCTGTACACAATAAAGCGACGAATTGTCAATCACATAGTGACTGTTTCACTGACTGCCAAACATCGTACATAGTAAAACAATCCGCACTCCCACCTCTTCTCTCTCTCCTTCACCCCGCAATTTCGTTATCTGTAATTTGATGCACTTGTTTGTCAGCGGTTTGAAACAAAAAAAATACATTGCCGACAAACGTTTACCGGCGCTTATCATTTTTTTTTTGCTGTTTTGTTGGCTTCAGCTCCCCGCCATCCGATTTAGTAGCTCAAGTGTTGAGAAATAAAATGCTTTGCATTCACTTGCTAACAAAACTATCCGGACAAGTATGAATCATTCAAAATTTTATTGCTGAGAACCGCGAGAGAACGAACAACTGAACAGCGCGAGACTATGAATGAAAAGTAATTTGAATAAAACTGAAATTCTTAGAATTCTGAATGGGAATGAACAACGCCAAATGGACGAATAACAATTAAGCAGAAGCTTGTATTTATTTTGTTCTTGTTTAATTAAAGACAAGTCTGTGTCAGAGTGAGTTCAATTTCTCGTTCGGCAGTTATGAATGGAGGAGGGATGCATGGATGGACGGACGGCGGATGGATGATTCAACGTTGCAATATTTTTGTGATTTTTTTCAAATTGGTATAAATTACACTTTTCTTGAAAGGTGAAGGGCCTAACATTGATATGTGTATATATCTCTTTCAATTGCTTTATTGGTACTTCTGAAAGTGCTGAGACTAACCCAGCAAGAATTTGAAGAAAACTGCAATTCCAGAGAATTTATTTATCATTTTGCGAGTTACATTAAAAATTATTGTCAAGAACATATCACTAATCACACATATGCCGTCTTAGATTTTAAGATATATTTGAAGTGCGAAAATTCCTTAGACTCAAAATTCTTAATAATCCATAATAAACAATTCGATTCCGATTATAATATAACTTCTTCGGGTTTTTACGTTACAGGATGAAATTATTCGAAGAATGTTAATGTTTCTTTTGAATTATTCTGAGTCACACAAAAAACTCCAGGTTTTGATTTCAGATGAAAATTAACTACACGTTTTTTTCAATCAGGCACTACCGTCCCTCATAATTAACACCAGCAGCACCACCAGCATTTTATGATGGCCTGCATTGTAGCCAATTGAAGTTGTTAACATCGACTTCATCAGAGGAATCCTTAAAATGTATTAATGCGTTGATTTTTTGCAGTACCGGTATTGTCGTTTCGTCTTTAAAATGTATTGAAACAGATATCTGTGCAGTTTTTCTAAAACTGCAACGGCAAGGAGGTGGCCCTCAGCTGTTGACTTTGGCTGGTAGAAGCACTCTATACTCAGAGAAAGACAGACAGACAGACAAACAAACATTGGAAGAAGCAAAGTGGTTTATGTGACCAAGATTCGTCTTTGGGTTTATTGTCTACGCCTGGCCATAAAAACTGATAATTTATGCAGCATTCTGTTGAACTGCCACAGAGATGTTGCAATTAAAATTAGAGTTCTACGGCCGTGTAGAGTAGCAATGTTTGTTCTCATCTAATTAAGTTGTAAAATGTCTTGTTCTTTTTTATTGGCATTGACAAACGTCTGAGAAGAAGAAGTCAAAGAAGTGAAGGGAAGGGGGACGCGAGCAGTCTCATTATTGTTTGCAATAAATGCTTAATTTGGCATTTTAGATTAGAACAAGCAAATAAACATTTTATGAAGTCCTCTAATCAAAGCGTGTAAAATTTGACTGGCATTTATAGAGGTACAAACAATGTTAACGCCGGCAATACGCTTTTGTTTTACTCGCGAGCATTTCAAATATTGTGACATATATACAGGGTGAGATGAAAAAACTGCAACCTACTTCAGACTTCTGTCATTTCTAAGACACTTGTCCGACAGCTGTTATAATTATTCCAGTGACAGCTCACTATATTGTTTACAAGCGTACAAAAGCATTTTGGTGAGAAT